GCTCTGTCACGCCTGTCCCCCTGCTCTGTCACACGCCTGTCCCCTGCACTCTGTCACACACCTGTCCCCCGCGCTCCGTCACGCCTGCCCCCTGCTCTGTTACACGCCTGTCCCTCGCCCTCTTTCACACGCCTGCCCCCAGCACTCTGTCACACGCCTGTGCCCCGCTGTCACACACCTACTCCGCTATCTGTTCCGTGTCTGTTCCCGCGCTCTGTCACATGCCTGTGCCCTGCTGTCACACAGCTAAAACCCACTCTTTGTTACACAACTGCCCCCCGCACTCTGTCACACGCCTGCTTCTCCATGCTGTCACACGCCTGCCCCTGCTCTGTCACACGCCTACTTCTCCATGCTCTATCACACGCCTGCCCCTGCTCTTTGTCACATGCCTGCCCCCCCGCTCTGTCACACACATGCCCCCTGCTCTGTGTCACACGCTGTCACATGCCTGCCCCCTGCTCTCTTGTCACGTCTGTCCCGTGCTCTCTATTACATATCTGTCCCATGCTCTCTGTCACACTGCTGCTCCTCACTCTCTGTCACACATCTGTCCCCTGCTTTCTGCAGTAGGGTGTTACAGGGACAAACAGTAGTTGTTTCCTACCCTCAGAGTGCTTGTAATTGCACTGGGGGAGACAGACAAGTGAAAACAGTTGAAATACTTAGGGATCATTTTTCTTGTTCTCTGCCATCGAATTGACCCTTGATGGAGCCCCTGACGCTGCCCTAGCCTGTGCCCCACACCACCCCCCAGTCCCATGGTGGTTTGTGGAACAGACCGTCGTGTTCTGCGTGTGTTGTGTTCACCACACACTGAACAAGCTCCTCCTCCTTGCTCGCTGGGGATAATCGACATCTTCTGACTCAGTCCTTCCTAAACTGGACGCTGGGGCTGCTGCCGTTCCCCAGTCTGGTTCCACTGACTGTGGGTGGGACCCAGGCTCTCAGGTGATGCTGAGGGTGCCGGTCCTGGGTTCCACTGAGTGGTCCCCTAGAGTGTGGCCAGGCAGTGTCTGCGAGTCGGCTGGCTTCTGCTGGTCTGCGCAGGAGGAGGCCCTGTTTTCCTGGCAGCCAGCCTCACTTCTTGTCTGTTCTTCAGTCCTTTCTGTGGTGGGACTCTGATTCTCACGTGAATTTCACCTTGGAAAGCCATTCCTCTGGGAATTCTCTCCATTGACTGCGTGACCCCACACTCCGCCTCTCCCTTTCTGACGTGTGGCTCTGTGTACTCTGACATTGTGTCCCAGACTGCTGCTGGACCTGGGAGCCTTGTCCCCTGGGCTGAAGGGACAGACATGCTTCAGGGATGAACAGACAGAGAAGACTCAGCACAAGTGGATGCAGCCCAGCCCCCATCGCTCACTGCTAGA